AGACCCACTCCTGTTATTCTCTCCATCTCTGTTTGTTTAATTAACCTTTTTCTGCTCACCTGAGCCATGCTAACCTGTCTGAACTTCTCACCTTTGTGCAGCGCTAATTTAACTATTTGCAGTCTCTACCAGATTATCAACAGCCTTCAGCCAGTAAAATCCAGCGTTCTCTCTCACCTGGTTCCCCAGCCGGGTTCAGGTGTATACCAGTATCAGATCTCTGCCTTATCTGGATTCTGACCTTGGTCTGATTTTTAAAAACCAACTCTTTGCCAGATATACCATAAAACTTTCTGACCCACTGAGATTGGGAGCCTTTTTTAAGCCTTAATCCTTTACAAATATTACTAAAATAAAGCCCCTCTGACGCTGGTCTGCCTTCTGGGAATGCTGGTTGTGTTCTGCCCACCTTGGTGGTTTATGGCTTTGATGTTTTCCACTACCTGAAACCAAATGGAACCCAGGAAGAGTATCTCTGCTCTCGTAGAGACTAATGGAGATCCTTAAATAAAGAAATATCCAGACTTCAGAGCAGTAATTCCTGAGAAACGAGAGTATTAGTTCAAACGAGGAGAAGGCTGATCTAGCTAACAGCAGCTGTGATTTGCAGATAGTCATGAACTGATCTGATATCAGAATTCCATGGTTTATTCTGATTATAGTAGATTTCAAATACAGACTAAAATAAGATCCAGTGATAATATTTAACCGATTTAAACGTCATTGAATAATTTTCTGAAATCCTGCCATCAGTGTAACTTTACCTGCAGGGACCAAACCAGTTTGTTTAGTTCAGTTTGACTTTCACTCTGGATGTTTTGATCATCTGAGTTAGAATATATCTTTATTTTTTAGCCTTAAATAAAAATCAGGTTGTGTTTGTTTGATCTTAAAATTATTTTACCTGATTTTTAATCTTTTTCATGTCATTGGTTTTCTATGACATTATTCATTTTTGTTTGAATAGAAGAAGGATTAGAAGCTAATAAGGCTGTTATCTGAACCATCACCAAACTATTTTAATCAAGAGATTATTTATTAAAGTCAGAGTTATGTGTTGTTTACACATGTTGTTATTCTTTGGTAACTTTCCTTCCTTTTATTAATGTTTTCACTGAGAAGCAAGAAGGAAACATGATCAGTGGAGCTAATATCAGAAGGTTATGAAGAAACAAGCTGAAGTCTCTGAAGTCTCAGACCTTTCTAAGCCCAAGAGATGAGGAAGCATTTCCATCCAAATCATGTCCAGACTGATCCGGAGAAAAAGCCATTAAAGCACAGAGATTTTCCTCCGACTCTAAAGGTCAAACTGAACCTGGAAGCTTCTTATCGGAACAGAAAATGTTTCTTAGTGGAAAAGTCAGAATAATCAGGTCAACTTGTCCATGAAGATATTAAAAACATCTTCTCAAAACGAACGGATTTCCAGAAGAATGTGTCAAACGTAACATTGATGCTAATCATTTTTAATTTCAGCAAATTAAATCAGAAAGTAGTAAAAATAAGGAAGTGAATCGTCTAAAGGAGCAACAAGCTCTCCTGCATCAGCAGCCGTTTAAACTTGATCTAATTTTCATCTTTTATTGTACATAACCGTAATTATTTAGTAAATGTATAATAAGATATGAAAATATATAGATCATCATGAATAAATATATAAAAAATTAACACCATGGATGAGAAATCTGATGTTTTTGATAATTTTTCTTTAGCAGAAACATGAAATGAAGCAGATAATCCTAAAACATTGAGATACAGTTATAACGGCCTAGTCAAAGTCTTCTCACCGTCTGTGGATTAAACTCAGAATAAATCCAATGTTTCAGTTGAAAACCAGCATGATGAACCCAGGATCATGATAGAAACCATCTGGGCAGCTGAGCTGAGAGGAGAAGGTTTAATCTGCGGCTGTGATGAAGCTGTTTCTGAGGAGCTGCCAGACATCAGTGTTCTACTCAGAGCGTCTGTTGAAAAATAAAATCTAAATGAACGTCACTCCTCCTCTCAGCCAGTGGGGAGGCCAGGGCATTGCAGAGGGTGGTCGTGCATGAAAGGTATTTTTCTAAAACAGTTCAACCTGAGAAGGAGGAGAAGGAACTTTCTACAATTCAACCTGGAAGCTGGAGGGTTTCAGGAGTTTCTCTCCATTTATAGAAATTATTTTCAATCATTGCCAGTGATCTGAACTTGATCAGATGATCTGAACTTGATCAGATGATCTGAACTTGATCAGATGATCTGAACTTGATCAGATGATCTGATCTGCATCAGATGATCTGAACTTGATCAGATGATCTGAACTTGATCAGATGATCTGATCTGCATCAGATGATAACGTTCACAGGTTTAAACATTCAGCCAGAAAAACTACATGTTTTGATTTTTTTATGTGACAAAAACAATAAATTTATGCAGCAGAATGAGAAGTTTTTAGGGGGTTAAATGTATTAGATTATTAAACAGGAAACAGTTCAGTGTTTAATAGAAGCCTTTACTGCTGAAGTTTTACAACTTTGGTTAATTGATTTAAAAACAGAAGGAGGTAGAAAAGGAAACGTCTGCATTGGCATCAATCTATGGAACGCCATGGAGGCGCGGCCGGGTTTGATCCCACAGACTCCACCGTTAAAACGCTGCAAGCTGACGGCCGGCCAAAGGTTTGAGTTAGGAGAGCCATGCATGGTTGTGTGGTTATGCAGTTATGCAGTTGCGTGGTTGTGTGGTTGTGCGGTTAGGTGGTTTTGTGGTTGTGGTTGTGCAGTTGTATGATTGTGCGGCTGTGCGGTTGCGTGGTTGTGCGGTTATGCAGTTAGGTGGTTGTGTGGTTGTGCGGTTGTATGATTGTGCGGCTGTGCGGTTGCGTGGTTGTTTTGTTGTGGTTGTGTGGTGCTGTTGCATGGTTGTGTTGTTGTGGTTGTGCGGTTGTGTGACTGTGTGTCTCTCTGAGGCGTAGCAAAGCTTTTCACAGGTTTCCATGACATCACTGTGGGGCAGCTTCCATTGAGGATGATCTCACACGCCCACGCCGACATGTCATGGCGCTAATGACTGTCTGGGCTTGGAAACACACACGTCGATTGTTTCTGTGCTGAAGCCTCCCACTCCATCTTTGACGCCGTCAGGGAATTAACACGAGTGGGAAAGCTGGATGTGATAAAAGCAGCTCAGACGAGGTGTCAGGAAAGGAATTCAGTCGTCTTCAAGTCAAATGGACTCATTTGACCTGAAATCATCAGTTCTTTTATAATGTTGCTCGTTCACCAGCTGCTTCCTCTTCATCACTTTCTTCATCACAGCAGAGATCACTGCTGATTCAGGCTGAAGGCTCTGCTCCCCCTACAGACCAGACGGGGTACTGCAGCGAGGTGGAGGATGGGAAGCTGTTGCTTTCACGAACTTTTTCCGTTTGATCTATTTCTTGAAAGATTAATTTATTGAAAAGTTTTATCAGCTTTAATGTTTAATGTTAGCTGGTCGACCTTTTCTGCTCCACTAATCTGGATGAAACTGTCAATCTCATCAATAAAAGAACAAGTTTGTAGCTTTTACATTTTATTATTATTTATTTTTGCTATTCTGCTTTTTACCAGACTGTAATGTTCACCTGCACTCCTGACTGTTACTATAGTAACAACTGTTTACATGCATCCTGCACGGCTCACTTTGACTGAGTATTGATTTGCACTGCCGACTGTTTATTCACAGCACCAATTGTTTACATTTATATTTGCAATAACGTACTTTAACTGTAATATGCAATTACCTTCCACTGCACTTTAATTTAGATTTAGCTTCTGTCCAAACTTTATGTATAAAACCATCTGTATATTATATTCAGTACATATCCAGCTGTAAATTTAGTTCATAACACCGTTTATCTATATATTATATTCATCTATTAGTGAGATTTGTAATGGAATTCATCTCTATATTTATTCAGTAGAAAACATGTCCTGTATTTATAAAAGCATTTTTTATCCTGTATTTGCTGCTGTTGCCTTTCTAAATAAATAACTTTTGTTATTTATGGTCATTAACTTTTTGATTGCATTTATGACATTGTACTTTTTTTCTCACATTCAGAACTTTAAATGGTGTCTCTGCTGAAACAGGTAATAGAAATAAATCCATCAGTAATAACTGATCAGGTCTAATAATTGAAAGTCTGAGGTGAGTTTTTTGAAGCTGTGAAAACCTGCTGCAAAGCGCTGCTTTGCATCAAGGGTTAAACTTCCTGCTTTGGTCTCCAATGTGGCTGCAGAGCAACCTTCCCATAATGCACTGCTCTATCAGGATGCTTCCCTAGCATCTTGCAGAACATTTGAGAGCCTAATTCTTCTTCATTTTTAGTTCAGCAAACAAAACATCTCCTAGAGGTACTTTCCTGAGAATGTTTCTTCTCTCTGATTGGCTGTGACCCTGACCCCCCTGCTCCACAGGCTCAGGTCAGTGCAACCTTCACTGCTCCATGGCGACCATGAAGGAGGCATTCAGGATCAACTGCTGTGCCGCAGCAGTTTAGCTGCGAGATGGAGGAAAGTCACAGCTTGAAGCAAATCTTTTGGTTAAACTTCTGAATTCAGACTCTCCTCTAAAAGAAAACTTTAACATTTCTACAGTTTTCTATTCCCTCCACCACCAAGTTCACAATTCTTAGCCTTTTGAAAAGCGTGCAAAACATTCCCCCCCGAGAACAAGCAGCGAAGGTAGAAACTGCAGTTCAGTTTTTGCTGTGATGAACGTTCCTCTGTGAGCTCTGCTCTTTAGAGTCTGATCTGGTCCAGTCATGTCTGAAGGTCGCTCTGTGTTCAAACACCTAAACCTTTCAGCTTCCTTTATGCAGGCGAAGAATCGGAAATAAGGCCGCTAAGATCTAAATGCTGCTCCTAACAGGAGGATCCAACAGGAAACCAAATATGGTCATATCCTGTTCAGTCACACATTCAGCTCATTGGCAGCTGCAGCAACCATCAAACAGCGTGATTGAAAGAGAGACCGACCTGTTGGATGAACATGTGCGCCCCCTGTGGGCTGAGCAGGAGGATGGCTCTGCGTAGCGTGTCCCGGTAGCGGTTCAGCTCCTCAGTCCTCATGGTGGTGAACAGGTTGGTGAAGACCTTGCTGATGTTCCTGTCCACCCTCTGCAGCGCCACATCCACACCCTGACGGGACGTCTGGTCCAGGAAGCCCTGCAGGCCGCGGATGTCTGTGGAGACAGAAAGGAAAGTCAACTGGCTGGACAAAAAAAAAATGATGGAACCCTGAACGGGAAATGAAGACATTTTTGACCCTTTAAAAAGGTGCAGAGTGCTACGGATGGATGGAGGAAGAGATGCGCGAGGTGGCGAGAGTGAGGCTGCAGAGGGGGGCTAAGCGGTGGTCTGTGAGACCCCCACAGACCACCGCTTCCATCAATCCTGCTCTCCAACGTCCGCTCGCTGGAAAACAAAATGGATAATCTCTGACTGGAACATCTTCAAGGCTGCAGCAACGTATGAAAACGTATTAAATATTGATGAGTCTGCCATGTCTGTGTCAGCCTACATCAGCTAATGCATCGAGGACGTCAGCATCTCTAAGAACATCACCGCCGGGCCGACCGACCGCCCTGGATAGATGGAGAGGTTCAGAAATCGCCCATCGGATATGTCAGGGGGAACATGGAGAGAAACTGTTGCTTCAGCCTCTATTACAGATGATTTTTAGAAAGCAGGGTTTCCACTGACCATCGTCGGCTTAAAGCTTCATCAGGCCGTCCTCCAGCTTGCTTTGCTCCTCTTCCTCAGTAAAGCTGAACTGGGCTCTGCTGCTGCAGCAGGTTGAACGTCCATCTCATCCTCCCTCCATCCTTCATGGTCTATTAGCTGACAGCCAGCGTGTTCTCAGCACCATCTCAGGCCCAAAAGCCATTTTTTCTCCTCCACTCAGCAGCAGCTGCCCCCCCCACGCCCCCAAACAACATCCACCATTTCTGCTCTCCTCCTATCGATCCATCCGTCACTCACAGCCTCCTTCTCCTTTCCAGAAAATTGACAGCGACGTTTTCTCTGGGAGAACAAACCAGAAACTGTTTAATGAAATCTGAAACTCAGACCCCCCCACCCCCCCATTCAGGTTCAGTTGATCATCGTTCATCAGTAAAGTTAACGGTAGAGAAACAGGCAACAAAACGCAGTGAAAGAAATTATTGTAATAAATAAAATAATAGTTGCCTCGTATTATTTTCTCTTTATAAAAAACAACTTTTCTTTTTGTTAGAGACCAAAATAAGCCGATAAAACAGCTAAATTACACCTTAAACCTTGGAAGCAGCTACATACACTGCAAAAATAATCTAGAAAACATTTCTGAAATTAAGCGTATTTAGCCTTATTTTCAGTAGGTAAATAAGACGGTTTGCCAATGGAATGAGTATTTACTCCTAAAGTAAGATAATTATATATTATGCACTTAAAATAGGACACCACAATAGTTTTTTCTTGTTTTAAATATAAATGATTTTGTTCCATTGGCAAAGTGTCTCACTTACCTGCTCAGTTCAAGCAAAAAAACTTATTTTAAGCAAAAATTACTTAATTAGATTTCAATTTATTGCAGTGAAAGGAGCAGCTATATTAGGAGCAGCTCCACGAGGAGCAGCTCCACTAGGAGCAACTACATTGGGAGCAGCTGCATGAGGAGCAGCTGCAGGAGGAGCAGCTCCATGGGGAGCAGCTCCATGAGGAGCAGCTGCATGAGGAGCAGCTCCATGTGGAGCTCCATTGGGAGCAGCTGCATCAGGAGCAGCTCCATGAGGAGCAGCTGCATGAGGAGCAGCTGCATGAGGAGCAGCTCCATGTGGAGCTCCATTGGGAGCAGCTGCATCAGGAGCAGCTCCATGAGGAGCAGCTGCATGAGGAGCAGCTCCATGAGGAGCAGCTGCATGAGGAGCTACATTGGGAGCAGCTGCATAAGGAGCAGCTACATGAGGAGCAGCTGCATGAGGAGCAGCTCCATGAGGAGCTACATTGGGAGCAGCTACAGAGGAGCAGCTGCATTGGGAGCAGCTGCATGAGGAGCAGCTACAGAGGAGCAGCTGCATTGGGAGCAGCTCCATGAGGAGCAGCTACAGAGGAGCAGCTCCATGAGGAGCAGCTGCATGAGGAGCAGCTGCATTGGGAGCAGCTGCATGAGGAGCAGCTACAGAGGAGCAGCTGCATTGGGAGCAGCTCCATGAGGAGCAGCTCCATGAGGAGCAGCTGCATGAGGAGCAACATTGGGAGCAGCTGCTGGTAACCACCAGGATGGAGGCAGGTTCCCAGCAGGGGCTGAAAGACGAAGGTGTGGAGCAGCAGCAGACTGAAGGTCTGAAGTGTCTCTGCTCGCTGTGCTAACCGTCCCCACAGCTTCTAGATCATGATGGACGCAGGACCGGATCAATTTACTGAGGCTGATTGGAGACCGGCTGCTCAGCAAGACTTAACATCGCAGCAACGTCTTCTGCTGAGGCCTTTTAAAACAGGCAGGCTGACCTTGGAAGGAGATTCCTTTAAGATGGAGGCGACACCCATGCCGTCTTTCCTCCCAGCTGCTAAAGGCCACTGATGTTTGCATCTTGTCCACATGCAGCAAACATTCCTGATATTTGCAAATTTCCTTCTGCATGAATTAACTTCAGTAAGAATCTAAATTCGCTGAGCAGACATTTCCCCTGTAAGACCTCTGAGGCCACAGAAATACAACCTCCACTTTATTATGTAGAGAATGTAATTCCTGTCCATTCAGAGCAGAGATGAAAATTCTTTGCTGTTTTTATGATTGTTAAACGCTACGAACTGTCCTTGGATCCGATCAGATAACTGGTCTAATAAACAGCTGTTTGGTTTCTCTGGTCACAGATCAGCAGTAATCAATCAGCCAACTCTAATCCAATATCTAATCTTTTTTTTATTTTCAATTTATTTTTTGAACTGATTATTTTTCCTGAACTCGCCTATGCAGATATGAAAACGCTTTGGGATGCAAACAGTGAAAAGTACCGATAACATTCATAACCGAATCATACGTCAGGCTGCTGGACGGTAAAAACTGCCTTAAATCAGAGGCCAGCGGCTCAGTCTGTGGTGGACATGAATTCACAAAGACCTCAATGTTCCTACAGGAGCTACTGATCAGTCTTTTACCAACATCTGCCTGCTGTGATCAACCCTTTACCAACATCTGGGTGCTCATCAAACTCATTTAAACTAAACTACTATGTACAAAGAGGAAGGAAACATGGTTGAAAACTATTTTACAGTTTAAAATGGATTTTGTGTTTGAAAACCAAAGTTTATCTGGAAGAATTTGGGATCTGATCAAATTAGCTTTTCACTAATTTAGAGAAATTGGAATGTTTTCAGACCAATTCACAATGCAAATCTATGAGGTTAATAAAACATTATTTGGCCAAATAATGTTTTATTGAATGATTTGTTTAATCAGGAACCAATAACCTTTAGCTAAATGATTCTTACCCTCTTTGAAATAGCTAGCAGAGAATAGACATCAGGATTCCACTAAATGACTCTTGGTCAGACTTGGTAATGGAAATGTAATGAGCATCTGAGGAACACATGAACACTAATGTTATATTAGTGTTTAATCCTTAGTGAATAAAGCTGGTCTAAGGTTTAGCAACAGATCAACACATATTCCTGTAGCATAGCGTAGCATGCAGTCTATCCTGTTAGCTTTGTCTTTACTCACCAGTAAACACATGAAATTATCAAATAATGAAAAGACATTGTTTGTTCTGTCCCTAATTGTGCCAGAGCTGCAAACCTCTGTTCACGTCCATTTGGAAGGTTTAGTTTCATCCAGCAACAGCTTAGCTTGGCAGGAACACAGCAACACGAGGGTTTTATTGTCCATACGACTCACACCAACGGATCCTTAGGAGGCTTTCTCCAGTCTGGCTCTGTAAGTTCTGAAACTCAAGAGAAATGTGTTGCAAAAAAACTGTTTTGCAGCAGTTTGGTTCTGAAAAGTCAGCCATCATGACTTAACTTTGGTCATTCTGGAGATCTGGGCCTTTTTCCTGGATCTCCATGGTGTTGCCTCTTCCAATGTGTACCCTCAGGCAAGTTCATGGGAAAGAGAGGAAGAAAGATCCTGTGTGCTTTGGTTTTACCGTTCCCAGCTCTGGAGGGGAACAAGGTGAAACATGGAGACTGGTTCCCAATGTCCAAAACCACCATCATGGCACAACATCCCTAACCCTAAACTCAACTCACAGCTTAGACCTAAACCTAACCCCCACCCCAAGAGGAGAACTGTCCCCCATGAGGACCAGTCTTTGGTCCCCACAGGTACCTCTAAGTCCTCATAATGTAGCTGATTCCTGGGAAATTGTCCCCACAAGGTAACAACAACATGGCCACAAACACACAGAAATATCTCACAGTTTGAAACAAACCATTCGTGGATTTTAGTTCCTCCTCCATTTTTTCCAGAAAAGCTAAACTGAAACCAGAACCAGGTTGGTCCAGTTTGTTCCAGTTTTGACCAGGTTGGTCCGGTTTAGACCAGTTAGGCCCAGTTAAGTCCAGGTTGAACTTGAGTCTCCCTCCAGATCTTAGGGCCACATTGAGTCATTAGCTTTCATTAGAAATGGATTATATGCTGAGGAGCTAATTAGGACCGCCTCCCTTCTTTGAACTGGTGTCTTTGAAGCATAACAGTGTTTTAGAGGAGATGAGCTGTAACCAGAGCAGCGGGTTAGCGTTAACCTAACCTTTACCGTTTCTGTCATTTCATAAAGAAACTGGTGTAGAAACAACAGATCCAGCTGCAGGAGGCCGTGATCAGCACGGCTCTGTCTGCCTCTCTGGGTAACACCACAGTTCATCTGAATGTTGAAACCCAAAAAAAAAGACGTTCTGTTTATTTCCATTTATTTAGGTGCTGAAATCCCAGACAGACATAATCTGAAGGGAAGAAGTCGTAGAGCAGAGGAAGCATTAAACTCATCTGTGCTTCAAAGTCTGCTGCAGACGTCCTTCAACATGTGACATCTCTAACCTGAGGAATGAATCCAGCCTTAATGAGTCTAACGAGGTGTTAATAACATGAATTCCTGCAGGATTTAGTCTTATTTATCCTAAGAGCAGCATTTCTTCCCTCCATGGGGCTCTGGACCCAGGCTGACCTGCCCTAACCCTCACCTGTTAGCAGCAGGTTGAGCTT